AAGCAGAAGGTGATGTCTAGAACAGTAAAGCTGGGGTGTAGAAGCAGAAGATGATGTCTAGAACAGTAAAGCTGGGGTGTAGAAGCAGAAGATGATGTCTAGAACAGTAAAGCTAGGGTGTAGAAGCAGAAGGTGATGTCTAGAACAGTAAAGCTGGGATGTAGAAGCAGAAGGTGATGTCTAGAACAGTTAAACTGAGGTATAAAAAGACGAAGATGATTTCCAGAGAAGTAGAAGCCATGTGCAGAAAACTGAAGGGAACGCCCATTTCTGTACGTGAGACAGAGACAGCAGACTAAAGCAGGTCTCTGAACTGGATTCAAACACATTTCTAGCGAGTTGCCCTAGCTGGTATAAAACATGGTCTTGGACGCTCAGCCAACCTGCTGCCCTCGTGCGCTGAGTGTGTCAGTGGTTATCGTTGACTGTGTGCCCAGCAAGCGTCTCTCTCCTGTTATGAGTGCCCATCAGTCTCACATCAGTTAGGCTAGGTTATCTTGTTGCGTTCACAGTCTCAGCTTCTTGTGTATTACGTCATCAAAAAATTGTCGACAGATTTGAGCAATTGTGGTTACCTAAGCTCGGTTACCTTCGGCAGTACTTTTTGTTCCCTCTGTGCAGTGTTATGTCTGTGCTATCTGCCCTGACTCTCCTATCTGTTTTGTCTGTCCTGTGTCCTGTCTGTGCTATCTGCCCTGTCTGTCCTGTGTCATGTTTGTGCTATCTGCCCTGTCTGTCCTGTCTGTCCTGTGTCATGTCTGTGCTATCTGCCCTGTCTGTCCTATCTGTCCTGTGTCATGTCTGTGCTATCTGCCCTGTCTGTCCTATCTGTCCTGTGTCATGTCTGTGCTATCTGAACTGTCTGTCCTGTCTGTCCTGTGTCATGTCTGTGATATCTGCCCTGTCTGTCCTGTCTGTCCTGTTTGTCCTGTGTCATGTCTGTGATATCTGCCCTATCTGTCCTGTCTGTCCTGTCTGTCCTGTGTCATGTCTGTGATATCTGCCCTGTCTGTCCTGTGTCATGTCTGTGCTATCTGCCCTGTCTGTCCTGTGTCATGTCTGTGCTATCTGCCCTGTCTGTCCTATCTGTCCTGTGTCATGTCTGTGCTATTTGAACTGTCTGTCCTATCTGTCCTGTGTCATGTCTGTGCTATCTGCCCTGTCTGTCCTATCTGTCCTGTGTCATGTCTGTGCTATCTGCCCTGTCTGTCCTATCTGTCCTGTGTCATGTCTGTGCTATCTGCCCTGTCTGTCCTATCTGTCCTGTGTCATGTCTGTGCTATCTGCCCTGTCTGTCCTATCTGTCCTGTGTCATGTCTGTGCTATCTGCCCTGTCTGTCCTATCTGTCCTGTGTCATGTCTGTGCTATCTGCCATGTCTGTCCTATCTGTCCTGTGTTATGTCTGTGCTATCTGCCCTGTCTGTCCTATCTGTCCTGTGTCATGTCTGTGCTATCTGCCCTGTCTGTCCTATCTGTCCTGTGTCATGTCTGTGCTATCTGAACTGTCTGTCCTGTCTGTCCTGTCTGTCCTGTCTGTCCTGTGTCATGTCTGTGCTATCTGACCTGTCTGTCCTGTGTCATGTCTGTGCTATCTGAACTGTCTGTCCTGTCTGTCCTGTCTGTCCTGTGTCATGTCTGTGCTATCTGCCCTGTCTGTCATATCTGTCCTGTGTCATGTCTGTGCTATCTGAACTGTCTGTCCTGTCTGTCCTGTCTGTCCTGTGTCATGTCTGTGCTATCTGCCCTGTCTGTCCTGTCTGTCCTGTGTCATGTCTCTGCTATCTGCTCTGTCTGTCCTGTCTGTCCTGTGTCATGTCTCTGCTATCTGCTCTGTCTGTCCTGTCTGTCCTGTGTCATGTCTCTGCTATCTGCTCTGTCTGTCCTGTCTGTCCTGTGTCATGTCTCTGCTATCTGCTCTGTCTGTCCTGTCTGTCCTGTGTCATGTCTCTGCTATATGCTCTGTCTGTCCTGTCTGTCCTGTGTCATGTCTCTGCTATCTGCTCTGTCTGTCCTGTCTGTCCTGTGTCATGTCTCTGCTATCTGCTCTGTCTGTCCTGTCTGTCCTGTGTCATGTCTCTGCTATCTGCTCTGTCTGTCCTGTCTGTCCTGTGTCATATCTATGCTATCTGCCCTGTCTGTCCTATCTGTCCTGCGTCCTGTCTGTGCTATCTGTCCTGTCTCTGCTATCTGCCCTGTCTACCCTGTCTGTCCTGTGTCATGTCTATGCTATCTGCCCTGTCTGTCCTATCTGTCCTGCGTCCTGTCTGTGCTATCTGTCCTGTCTGTGCTATCTGTCCTGTCTGTGCTATTTGTCCTTCTGTCAGCGCAGGAATATTTCACCCAGGGGGCCTCTCGGACCCAGCTCATTACATGGATTTCCCCCCCCCCCCCCCACGGTAGCCCACGGGCCCCTGTTGGCTCTCTTCTTGTATTTGATGATTTCCTTGTTGATCAAGTTCAGACACTCATCTGTTTTTAGTTGTGTGGTTCCGCAGTAATTGATTGGCTCGACGGGAAATTCTGAAAACTTGGCCTGTCTGCATGTCACCTTTTGTCCATTAGCGCTGACAGCTGGTCTCTGGGTAGAGGAGGGGTGGCAATGAAAGGGGCGGGTTGCATCCATGGCTATGTAGATCACCGACTGCACGCTGTAGGTGGAACCTGGGTCACGGGGCCACAGGTTGGTTGTGGTAGACTGAGGACGACCGGAAGCTTAGATCAACACTTGCAATGACATTCTTTTTATCACTCTTTTAGCTCCAGTCATCTGCCGACTTCACAGGTGGACATCGACTTACTCCTCAACCGTCGAAACTCCAAGACTGTGAACGAACAGCTAATGCTAATATCAATGTTTATTCAGTTACACAATCGCCTCCAGACTAGTGCACCCCGTGGTAACAGTCCAGGGATCGCAACACAACAGAGCACACACAAAAAACAGTTCCATGAAATATTATTTTTTGGCCGAAAAACATAAGTAATCTTTGTGAGTAGATGGGAGCCTGAGCCGCTGAAAAACTTGGCTGTTAGGGAACGTTTGAGATAGAGACAATAAACAATACTTTGTGCACTTTTAGTGGTGTGCACTATCAGTGAGAGCCTAGAAACAGTCTCCTTCGTGATAAGACTAGCAGGTCAGAGGTCAGCTTCATGATTTACTTTGAAATGTAGAACTAAACTTTGTTATTGGGGCCAGGTGAAGCAGTAGTATACAAGATGGATATGAACACCCACAGGCTAGGTATAACAGTGGCTCCAAGCAGTAGAACTGACAGAACATGACTAGTATAGAAGATAGACATGCCACCCACAAGCTAGGTATAACAGTGGCTCGAAGCAATAGAACAGACAGAACATGACTAGTATAGAAGATAGACATGCCACCCACAAGCTAGGTATAACAGTGGCTAGAAGCAATAGAACAGACAGATCATGACTAGCATACAAGATGGACATGCCACCCACAAGCTAGGTATAACAGTGGCTTGAAGCAATAGAACAGACAGAACATGACTAGTATAGAAGATAGACATGCCACCCACAAGCTAGGTATAACAGTGGCTTGAAGCAATAGAACAGACAGAACATGACTAGTATAGAAGATGGACATGCCACCCACAAGCTAGGTATAACAGTGGCTCAAAGCAATAGAACAGACAGAACATGACTAGTATAGAAGATAGACATGCCACCCACAAGCTAGGTATAACAGTGGCTTGAAGCAGTAGAAGAGACAGAACATGACTAGTATAGAAGATAGACATGCCACCCACAAGCTAGGTAAAACAGTGGCTCAAAGCAATAGAACAGACAGAACATGACTAGTATAGAAGATGGACATGCCACCCACAAGCTAGGTATAACAGTGGCTAGAAGCAATAGAACAGACAGAACATGACTAGTATAGAAGATGGACATGCCACCCACAAGCTAGGTATAACAGTGGATTGAAGCAATAGAACAGACAGAACATGACTAGTATAGAAGATGGACATGCCACCCACAAGCTAGGTATAACAGTGGCTCGAAGCAATAGAACAGACAGAACATGATTAGTATACAAGTTGGAGATGCCAGAATGTCAAATCACTGCCTGAGAACAATATAACTAGAATGTGTTTTCAATGGAACCCACAGTGACACACAGAGAAAGATACGGAGAAGTGAGCTAAGAAGTGAGGTTAAAACGAAAGGACAGGAATTAGGTGACTGCATTCGATAGTAAACGTTAGGATAATTTAGTGTGAGTTACTTGAGAGCCTATGCTCCACTAGGGTATAAAGGCAGGCGAATCATAAATATACACACACACACACACACACACACACACACACACACACACACACACACACACACACACACACACACACACACACACACACACGCACGCACGCACGCACGCACGCACGCACGCACACACACGCACGCACGCACGCACGCACGCACGCACGCACGCACACACACACACACACACACACGCACGCACGCACACACGCACGCACGCACACGCACGCACGCACGCACGCACGCACGCACACACGCACGCACGCACGCACGCACACACACGCACGCACGCACGCACACACACACACACACACACACACACACACACACACACCCACAAACCCACCCACCCACACCAACCCACCCACCCACCCACCCACCCACCCACCCACCCGCCCACCCCCCCGCCCGCCCGCCAGCCCGCCCGCCCACCCACCCCCACCCACGCAGCCTAACACACAGACATACACAGTAAGACACATAGACCCAGACAGACACACATACCCAGACAGAGAGAGACAGACACACACGTACAGAGAGAGAAGAGATGGAGAAAGAGAGAAAGGGAGACGTATTCTAATATGGGTTCTATAATGTTGTAACTTGTTTCCAGGTGAGAGTCATGGAGCCACTTGTGAGGTCGTTACCAAGTGACTGTCACAACCCCTAGTAGGGTCACGACCAGGTGACCTCCACGACCCCATGTGACAGTATGAACCCTCTCCTTTACATGGGGATCGTCGTGCCCACAGTCATCACCATCGCCCTTTTTCTCATCTTTATCTACTGTTGGTAAGTGGCACCCCAACCGTTGTGTCTGCTGTCATTTACTATTGGTAAGTGGCACCCCAACCGTTGTGTCTGCTGTCATTTACTATTGGTAAGTGGCACCCCCAACCGTTGTGTCTGCCGTCATTTACTATTGGTAAGTGGCGCCCCCAACCGTTGTGTCTGCTGTCATTTACTATTGGTAAGTGGCGCCCTCAACCATTGTGTCTGTTGTCATTTACTATTGGTAAGTGGCGCCCCAACTGTTCAAAATAGACCCAATGCCTATCTAACATTCACTGCCAACAGATTTTTTTACATAACTTGCAAATAAATCTTTCATACAACACCAATGCATTTTAAATTCAGTTGCCAGTAAAACTCTAGCATTAAATACCAACAGATCTTTATCCTCTTCATGTCGCTGTTAACACATAACGCATTCACAAGTGATCTCCATTGCTGCCGGTCTGCTGCTTTTCTGCCCATGGTATCCCATGTCAGTTTACATTCCTTTATTTACCATTCTGTTGTCCTTCTCCGGTTGTCCACCTCTTCCCATCTGCTGTCCACCGGAGAACTGTTTTTGCCAGTGTCACAAGGCATTCTGTAAACATGTCCAAGTCATCTCCGTCGTCTTACTTTGATAACATTTGCCATTGATGCACATTCGGTTTTTCTCCTCAGTTCTTCATTTGTGATTTTGTCTGGCCGAAATATTCGTAGAATTCTCCTTAAACATTTATTTTGAAAAGTCCCAATTTTATGTGCAATTCTCGCTGTCATTTTTCAACATTCACTGTTGTATAATAGTATTCCTGAAATGTTGCTTTTGTATATTCTGAGTTTTGTCTTCAAACTAAATCTCTTTGACTTCCACATGTTGTTAAGCATGGCAAATGCTTGATTTTCTTAATTTTTTTTAATGTTACATCATCCTTTTCAGAATCTCCATCTGGAGTAACTTTACTTCCGAGTTATATAAATTCTTTAACTTCCTCTATACCTTCATCATTTAAGATTATTGGATTTTATGTTTTACAATTATTTCTCATTACTTCAGTTTTACTGGTGTTAATTTTGAGTCCTATCTTAAGGGCTGTTGTTGAAAGTCTTTCAATCTTTTCCTGAGCGTTCACATGACGGCTTGATATAAGGCTGATGTCATCTGCATAGTCCAAATCCTCTCAAACAGAGGCGAGTGACCACCTGATGGCCTGATATAAGGCTGATGTCATCTGCATAGTCCAAATCCTCTAAAACAGAGGTGAGTGACCACCTGATGGCCTGATATAAGGCTGATGTCATCTGCATAGTCCAAATCCTCTCAAACAGAGGCGAGTGACCACCTGATGGCCTGATATAAGGCTGATGTCATCTGCATAGTCCAAATCCTCTATAACAGAGGTGAGTGAGTGACCACCTGATGGCCTGATATAAGGCTGATGTCATCTGCATAGTCCAAATCCTCTATAACAGAGGTGAGTGACCACCTGATGGCCTGATATAAGGCTGATGTCATCTGCATAGTCCAAATCCTCTCAAACAGAGGCGAGTGACCACCTGAAGCCTTTTTTCGACCTTGTGTAACTTCCTTAATCAGCCAGTCAATGGCCAAATTAAACAAAGAGGGGGATAGAATGCATCCATATCTGACTCCAGTGTTGACAAAGAAAATTTATGTTGTATGATTATCACAAACAACCTTGCATTGAAACTCTAAATAAATGGCTTTGATCAAATTTACTATTTTCTGTGGTACACCATAGCCTTGAAAAATCTTCCATAGTGATTCCCTATGCAGGCTATATCAGAGGCTTTTTCAAAATGCACAAAGGTCATATAAACTGCACTATTCCATTCGTTTCTTTGTTCAGTTATTTGACGCAGTGTGAATATGTGATCAATACATGATTTCCCTTGTCTGAATCCTGTTTGTTCTTGCCTTATTATACTATGAAGTGTTTGAGTCATTCTTTAAAGAATTATCTAGCTAAAGGTTTTACTATTTACTGATAGTAATATGATACCTCCCCGGTTGTTACAGTTTCCTAAATCTCATTTCTTTGGTAATTTAGTAATACTACCTTTTTCCACTCCTGTGGGATTTCTTCTTTGTTCCAGATTTCTGAAAAATCTACACAATAGTTGTGGCGTTTCAATTTCCTCCACTTTCAGCATTTCTGGGCAGATTCCATCACACCCAGGTGCTCTGTTAAACTTTTGAGCTTTAATCGCCTCCCTAACCGCTGCCTCTGAAAAAGGCTCTAGGCTTATCTGTAGGTCTTCCTGTGCCTCAGGTATATAAGCAAGTACAGGTGGGTCTGGACAGTTTAGTAATTCCTGGAAGTGTTCTTTCCACCTGTATAATTTTTCTGTCACGGCTAAAATCATTTACCCACTCTTTGTTCTTGGTGCGATACCACATTTCCTTTCAGTTTCTTAGTTATGTTGTACAATGTTTTGACGTCCTGCTTATTTGCTGCTTCCTCTGCTTTTGTTACTAGTTTTTCAATATACGAAAGTTTATCTGCTTTTGCTCCGGCTTTAACCTCATTGTTCTTTAGTGCATATTCTTTAAAAAATTGTCCTTTCAATCTGGCTGATTTTGCATCTAACATTTGTCTTTTATTATCTTTCCATTGTGCTATTCTCTCCCACGTCGACTGGGAAATCCACTCCTCTTTCTTTGACCACCTAGATCCTAATATTTTCTTCCCTGCTATTTGACTGCTTCATTAAATTTGTCGATTACCATTCCTGTTTCTTCTTATAAAATGCTGAATCTGTTTTTGAATTCTATCTTGAATTGCTGTTTGATATGTGTGTCCTGCAATTTTTAAACATCATATCGCTGCAGTTTTTGTTCTCCTATTTTAGCTTTCCTTAGTTTTTTACCTGATTTTTCCAATAAGTAAATGATGGTCCCTCCCTATATCCGCTGATCTACGTACTCTGACGTCTTGCAGAGAATGCCTCAATTTGCCACTTATAAGAATATGGTCACTTTGGTTTTCTGTGTGTCCATCTGGAGATCTCCATGTAACCTTATGAACTGTTTTATGAGGGAAGAGCGTTTTTCAAATTATTAGGTCATTAGATTAGCAGAAGTCACATAATCTCTCTCCGTTGCTGGTCAAATGTCGAACCTACCAATCAAATACCTTTCTTAAATGTTTGTATATTCTAGACAAAGCAATAAGGTCTACTGTGTTCGTAAATTGTTGCTGTGATTAACTATAGCTTTCTATTTTTATGTTGTCTAGTGTGTTCTTCTATCTTTCTACTTCTTTCTATGAGTGCCGATCAATACACTTTATGTTACTCGAATAATTCATAATATTTAACGGCCTCAAAGGTTACTCCTCTGTTTTTTTTATAGGAATGACGTATACACACCGGAACTTACCAATCAAATACCTTTCTTAAATGTTTGTGTATTCTAGACAAAGCAATAAGGTCTACTTTGTTCGTAAATTGTTGCTGTGATTGTTATTCGACATTTGCTTCGTTAATATAAATTTCTGTAACCTATGGTACCATTTCAATGGGTTGAAATGAATTCTGTCCGTATTCCATAGTTGTGGATTTCAAGCTGTACGATAGACATGGCCAATAAGACACCTTTTTTGGGGGGTGCCTAGTTGACCATGTTCTTTAGTGCACTTGTTTTCATGGCGAGGCGCAGACGCCGTCTGGAGGTGACGGGTTCAATTCCCGGCACGGCAACTATAGCTTTCGATTTTTATGTTGTCTAGTGTGTTCTTCTATCTTTCTATTTCTTTCTATGAGTGTCAATTAATACACTTTCTGTTACTCGATTAATTTAAAATATTTAACGGCCTCAAAGGTTCCCCCTCTGTTTATTTATAGGGCTGACCATATTATGTAGTTCATCAGCTCTATCTGACCAGATTATGTTGTTCATCAGCTGTATCTGACCAGATTATGTTGTTCATCAGCTCTACCTGACCAGATTATGTTGTTCATCAGCTCTACCTGACCAGATTATGTTGTTCATCAGCTCTATCTGACCAGATTATGTTGTTCATCAGCTGTACCTGACCAGATTATGTTGTTCATCAGCTCTACCTGACCAGATTATGTTGTTCATCAGCTCTACCTGACCAGATTATGTTGTTCATCAGCTCTACCTGACCAGATTATGTTGTTCATCAGCTGTACTCGACCAGATTATGTTGTTCATCAGCTCTATCTGACCAGATTATGTTGTTCATCAGCTCTACCTGACCAGATTATGTTGTTCATCAGCTGTACCTGACCAGATTATGTTGTTCAGCAGCTGTACCTGACCAGATTATGTTGTTCATCAGCTCTACCTGACCAGATTATGCTGTCGTCTGTATTAAAGTTTCTGTTTCCTGTCCCTGTCCAACGTGCTTCTGTAATTCCTAAAATATGTACATTGTGTAGGCGCGTCTCATGAAGAACTTGTTCCATTTTTCCAGTTTGATACAATGTTCTCACATTCCAGCATTCAACACTTTGGGTGTTTTTGGGAGAAAGAAGATTCACTGGCGGGCTGTCGACTTCCTGTAGGCTTTGATCCCCAGCCGTCATTTCACCAAATATTTGCAAGCTTCACTTCTTTCCACCGGTTCAATGATTTCACTTGTTCCTGTTTCTGTAACAAAGTATTTTTTTCTTACGGTAATGGGTTGTCAACCCTTCGCCCAACGGTTAGCCGGGAGCACCAGGGTGCTAGTTTAGTCTGATTCTTTTCAAGATCTGTTCAGCATGGTTAAACCTGCTAGGGGAACAAGTCCCTTTCCGGCATGGTTAAACCTGCCAGGGGAACAAGTCCCCTGTCGGCATGGTTAAACCTGTCAGGGGAACAAGTCGCTTGTCGGCATGGTTAAACCTGCCAGGGGAACAAGTCCCTTGTCGGCATGGTTAAACCTGTCAGGGGAACAAGTCCTCTGTCGGCATGGTTAAACCTGTCAGGGGAACAAGTCCCTTGTCGGCATGGTTAAACCTGTCAGGGGAACAAGTCCCTTGTCGGCATGGTTAAACCTGTCAGGGGAACAAGTCCCTTGCCGGCATAGCTCTGAGAATCATTAGGGTACTCAAGTCATCCTGCTACGACAAGGCACCAGCACCATAGGATGGATTGCCAACAGATTTTAACATAGATTGTCAATAAATCTCCAATACACAGCAAACAGATTTTAACATAAATGGTCAACAAATCTCCCATTCACAGCCAACAGATTTTAACATAAATGGTCAATAAATCTCCCATACACAGCCAACAGATTTTAACATAAATGGTCAACTAATCTCCCATACACAGCCAACAGATTTTAACATAAATGGTCAACAAATCTCCCATATACAACCAACAGATTTTAACATAAATTCCAATACATCTCCAATATACAGCCAACAGATTTTAACATAAATGGTCAATAAATCTCCCATACACAGCCAATAGATTTTAACATAAATTCCAATAAATCTCCCATATACAGCCAACAGATTTTAACATAAATGGTCAATAAATCTCCCATACACAGCCAATTGATTTTAACATAAAGTGCTAACTGTATTATATTGAGCAAAAGAATATTGCAAAGTTTGCACACAAACTTTCCTACAAACCCATCTGTAACATGTTTATTGTTACAAACCTGTTATCTATGTGTATACGTTTAATGTTTCAAATAATTGATCTATATGTATACGTTTAAAGTTACAAATAGTTGATCTATATTTGTATAGTTTCCTGTTTCAAACCTCAGATTTATAGTTGTATGAATTATGTTACAAACCTATGATCTTTATTTCTATGCTTTATGTTTCAAACCTCTGATCTATATTTGTATGTTTTATGTTACAAATCTATGATCTATATTTGTATGCTTTATGTTACAAACTTCTGATGTATCTGATCTATATTTATATATTTAATGGTCACGATTTTTCTACCCCTATTCCTTTTTCGCCCCCCCCCCCTTTTTTTTTCCCGCCAGGTTGCTACAGAGAGCACGCAAGGAAGTGCTGACCCGGAAATATGACCCCCATGGAAAGATGAGGAGTCTGGGCATGTCCTTGAACCCACCCTTGCCACCCAGCTTCTGTCTGCTGGAAGAGCTGCTCCTCTCTGATGTCGGCGAGGACAACGTGGCCTATGACGTTAGCCGCAGTCCCTCCACACAAGCGGACTGTCATGGACGAGCACTCTACCGCACTTTCCACGACAGCGGCATTTATGCGGGCTTGTCCCCGCCTCACGAGAGCGAGCACCGAAACGGCCTTGCCTACAGGACATGTCCTGACTCCAGGATCTCTGGATTGAATCTGTTACAGCCGACACATGCTATGTCTCACATCAATAGAGGGAGCCATGACGCCGATGACGTGTTCCAGCGTCAGCCACAACTGCAGCAGGAGTGTCAGGACCACATTTACTTAGACAGGCGTCAACAACAGCGGTACAAGCATCAGTCGCCTGATGTGGCGCTACATGCAGGTAGGGTGCAGGCATCCGTCCATCTAAACAGTTCAGTTAGTTGCAGCAGCAACAAAGACGGTTCCGTGACAAGTCAGAGCCGGGACTCCCCACGCAGTCAGGCAAACAGCCTCCTGGATGAGTACAGCCTGAGACATAACAGCCTGCACAGGCCAGCAACACCCACGTCACGCACACTGCAGACATCCCTGTTGTACGATGAGGTCAGTGAGGGCCACAATTCTCCACAGACTGGCCAGCCATCATTCTGCTCTGACCAAAGTCGAACACTACACTGTTGGAATCAACAGGAGGGTACTTGCATGCGCACAGAGCATCATATACCCGTAGACACAGTTATCATGATGTCTTCTTCTGTAAATTCCCACCTGCAAGAATCACTGACTCTCGGCTTGGTTCAACATCTGTATGACCTACCCTTCCCACCACCACCACTACCACCACCACCACCACCACCACCACCACCACCACCACAATTAGTACCATCATCATTTGATACAGCAACAGCAGCTTTTCCTCCAAATCAGTTCTACAGGGATAGTAGTGTTATGGGCATAGGGCTGCCCACTGTCCTTGATCCTGGGATCATAGACATGGGGCAGATAACTCTCTCTGGTATAGAGCGACCGGACTCCCAAGCGTCTCAGTCCTCAAGCACAGACTCCGAAGACTCCGGCTTCCGCAGCTCCTACTGTGCCGCACATCGTAAGGATGTCCTTGGCAAGCAAGAACATCCATTACTGAAACCGCTAGGAAGAAGTACAAGAAACAAGAACCACCGGAAATCTTCTAGAAGAACAACTTGTCGCTCACAGAAACTCCCATTCGCCACTCGCCAGCCAGTGACTACATCCAGCCCCACACATCGACAAGACGATGTTCACAATGTATCTGTGATAAAACAAGCGAAGACAAGACTGGATGTGACGCACAAACCACTAGATGTGATCCACAGACCACTGCCCCTACGTCAACAAGGCACAAACTGTACGGGCCGGGGGCTCACTAAAGGGGCCTACTGTGCCGCCACATCCGGAGAGCAGGCTGTCAGCAAGAACTCCTCCACGAGTCCTCAGTGTTCTCCCGCCAGGAACATCTGGGCTCTCCATTCCAGCAACGACGGTGAAGTCTCCGCCACACAGACCATCAGCCTGACGCACATCAATACACAACCCAGCCGGGCATATTTACCCAGAGTCGGCAAACCAACGTCTCAGTTGCCGGACCACTCCAGGTTTGTGCAGCCTAGTGGTCAGGCTTGTCCACCAGATCCCGCTGGCCAGCCACCAACAGATGGCCGCTTAGACAGTCACATGTATTCTGTTGTGTGAGTTCAGTGTTTCAGCCATCTTGCCCACGACGAACATAAACAGTTACTGTTTACCATCGATGAGAACGATGACATTGTGCAGCTAATGATCGGGAAGACCACATGACCCAAAGACCAACACAAAAGTGGTCATGCCGGGCCATGATCGGAGCAGCTAATTGTTTTCCTCCACGCTTCTGGCACTGTTAGGCCTATCGTTTGTGGAACCGTTTGCCAGTGTAACACGATTTATCGCGCCGAGACACTGAAGCAATGGAAGCAGCCCTATACGAGACCCACGACACCTCCGCTAACCACACGTGCACTGAAATGACATAATGCTAAGTTTCGGTGAACTGTCAACTTTAGCCTCATCTGCGACAAGCCCAGGAAGGCTAACCAGGGCAAAAAATGCCTGCAGAAGATTGATGTGTCGGCCGAAATGGGCAGATATCGCAGCCATGCTGTAAACGTACACAAATCATTTACGTCTTCTTATAAACGTAGCAGAAAAAGAATATATGTTGAAAGTGGCTTGCGCGAGCATTCTGATCTGGTACTGAGACAATCACACAAGTGTGTAGTCGACTGTTCATGGTGACTGAGACAATCAAACAAGTGTGTAATCTACTGTTCATGGTGACTGAGACAATCAAACAAGTGTGTAGTCGACTGTCCCTGGTGACTGAGACAATCACACAAGTGTGCAGTCGACAGTTTCTGGTGACTGAGACAATCACAATAGTGTGTAGTCGACTGTTCCTGGTGACTGAGACTATATCAATAGTGTGCAGTCGACTGTTTTTGGTGACTGAGACAATCACACTAGTGTGTAGTCGGATGTTCCTGGTGACTCAGACAATCACAAGTGTGGAGTCGACTGTTCATGGTGACCGAGACAACCACACAAGTATGTAGTACATTGTTCATGGTGACTGAAACAATCACAAGTTTGTAGTCGACTGTCCCTGGTGACTGAGACAATCACACAAGTGTTTAGTCGACTGTTCTTGGTGACTTAGATAATATCAATAGTGTGCAGTCGACAGTTCCTGGCTCATGAGACAATCACACAAGTGTTTAGTCGACTGTTCCTGGTGACTGAGACAACCACACTAGTGTGTAGTCGACTGTTCATGGTGACTGAGACAACCACACTAGTCTGTAGTCGGCTGTTCATGGTGACTGAGACAATCACACAAGTGTGTAGTCGATTGTTCATTGTGACTGAAACAACCACAAGTTTGTAGTCGACAGTCCATGGTGACTGAGACAATCAGAAGTGTGTAGTCGAATGCTCCTGGCGACTGAGACAATCACACAAGTGTTTAGTCGACTGTTCATGGTGACTGAGACAATCACACAAGTATGTACTGGACTGTTCCTGGTGACTTAGACATTATCAATAGTGTGCAGTCGACTGTTCCTGGTGCCTGAGACAATCACAGTAGTGTAGTCGACTGTTCCTGGTGACTGAGACAATCACACTAGTGTGTAGTCAAATGTTCCTGGTGACCGAGACAATCACAAGTGTGTAGTCAAATGTTCCTGGTGACTGAGACAATCACACTAGTGTGTAGGAAAATGTTCCTGGTGACTGAGACAATCACACTAGTGTGTAGTCAAATGTTCCTGGTGACCGAGACAATCACAAGTGTGTAGTCGGCTGTCCCTGGTGACTGAGACAATCACACAATTGTGTAGTCGACTGTTCTTTGTGACTGAGACAATCAGAATTGTGTAGTCGACTGTTCCTGGTAACTGAGACAATCACACAAGTGTGTGGTTGACTGTTCATGGTGACTGAGACAATCACACAAGTGTGTTGTCAACTGTTCATGGTGACTGAGACAATCACACAAGTGTTTAGTCGACTGTTCCTGGTGACTAAGACAACCACACTAGTGTGTAGTCGACTGTTCATGGTGACTGAGACAATCACACAAGTGTGTAGTTGACGGTTCATGGTGACTGAGACAACCACACAAGTGTTTAGTCGACTGTTCCTGGTGACTGAAACAACCACACTAGTGTGTAGTCGACTGTTCATAGTGACTGAGACAACCACACTAGTGGGTAGTTGACTGTTCCTAGTGACTGAGACAATCACACATGTGTGTAGTCGACTGTTCCTGGTGACTGAAACAACCACACTAGTGTGTAGTCGACTGTTCATATTGACTGTCCCTGACAAGACAACCACACTAGTGGGTAGTTGACTGTTCCTGGTGACTGAGACAATCACAATAGTGTGTAGTCGACTGTTCCTGGTGACTGAGACAGTCACAATAGTGTGTAGTCGACTGTTCCTGGTGACTTAGACAATATTAATAGTGTGCAGTCGACTGTTCCTGGTGACTGAGACAATCACACAAGTGTGTAGTGGACTCTTCTTTGTGACTGAGACTATCACACTAGTGTGTAGTCGACTGTTCATGGTGACTGAGACAACCACACTAGTGTTTAGTTGACTGTTCCTGGTGACTGAGACAACCACACAAGTATGTAGTCGACTGTTCCTAGTGACTGAGAAAACCACACTAGTGTTTAGTCGACTGTTCATGGTGACTGAGACAATCACACTAGTGTGTAGTCGACTGTTCCTGGTGACTCAGACAACCACACTAGTGTTTAGTCGACTGCCTATGGTGACTGAGACAATTAGAAGTGTGTAGTCGACTGTTCCTTGTGACTGAGACAATCATACTAGTGTTTAGTCGACTGTTCCTGGTGACTGAGACAACCACACAAGTGTGTAGTCGACTTTTCCTAGTGACTGTAACAACCACACTAGTGTGTAGTCGACTGTTCATGGTGACTGAGACAATCACACAAGTGTGTAGTCGACTGTTCATGGTGACTGAGACAATCACACAAGTGTGTAGTCGACTGTTCCTGGTGAATGAGACAATCACACTAGTGTTTAGTCGACTGTTCATGGTAACTGAGACAACCACACTAGTGTTTAGTCGACTGTTCCTGGTGAATGAGACAACCACACAAGTGTGTAGTCGACTGTTCATGGTGACTGAGACAATCACACAAGTGTGTAGTCGACTTTTCATGGTGACTGAGACAATCACACAAGTGTGTAGTCGACTGTTCCTGGTGAATGAGACAATTACACTAGTGTTTAGTCGACTGTTCATGGTGACTGAGACAACCACACTAGTGTTTAGTCGACTGTTCCTGGTGAATGAGACAATCACACAAGTGTGTAGTCGACTGTTCATGGTGACTGAGACAACCTCACTAGTGTGTAGTCGACTATATGGATATTTATATCCAAGCTGCCATGTAATTTTTAATCCACCAGAGTATTTGCGTGTGTTAGTGTGTGTGTAGTCGACTACATAGTTTTTTATGTCCAATCTGCCATGTGATTTACACTCAGCCAGTGTGTTTGTGTGTGTTAGTGTGTGTGTAGTCGACTACATAGTTTTTTATGTCCAATCCGCCATGTAATGTACAATCAGCCAGTGTGTTTGTGTATGCGTGATTGCGCGTGTGTGTATGTGTGTGTGTGTATGTATATATGTGTGTGTGTGCGTGTGTGTCTGCAGCACACTGACGGAGCCAGTGATTTATTAACGAATAGCATTCATATGACAGGAGACAAGACAGACATAAGGAGATACAGAGACAAGACAGACATAAGGAGATACAGAGACAAGAGATGGAGTGAAAAAGACACAGAGACAATAGATAGACAGATGGAGATAGATAAAGAGACAATAGATAGATAGATGGAGATACAAAGACAAGAGATAGTGAGATACAGAGACAAGAGATAGTGAGATACAGAGGCAAGAGATAGTGAGATACAGAGACAATAGATATACAGATGGAGATACAGAGACAAGAGATAGTGAGATACAGAGACAAGAGATAGTGAGATACAGAGGCAAGAGATAGTGAGATACAGAGACAAGAGATAGTGAGATACAGAGACAATAGATATACAGATGGAGATACAGAGACAAGAGATAGTGAGATACAGAGGCAAGAGATAGTGAGATACAGAGGCAAGAGATAGTGAGATACAGAGACAAGAGATAGTGAGATACAGAGACAAGAGATAGTGAGATACAGAGACAATAGATATACAGATGGAGATACAGAGACAAGAGATATACAGATGGAGATACAGAGACAAGAGATATACAGATGGAGATACAGAGACAAGAGATAGACAGAGAAGGATACAGAGAACAAGAGATACACAGATACAGATACGAGAAATAGACAGAGGTAGATACAGAGACGAGAAATAGACAGAGGAAGATACAGAGACAAGAGATAGACAGAGGAGGATATAGAGAACAAGAGATAGACAGATGAAGATACAGAGACAAGAGATAGACAGAGGAAGATACAGAGACAAAAATTGAAATTATTTCCAAAACAATCTCCGCGCTTGTGGTTTAAAATCAAAGATTTGTTTCAATTAATTTATATTTAATGTTTAAGGGGTATATTAATTATTAATCCCACAAATGACAAATTTATTTGCCGTTTTAAGAAAATTAAACAATTCTTCATTGATAAGTCACAAGGACATGGGAAATTTAAGACCACATGCACAAATGTGTTTTGATCCATAAAAGAGTTTTTGGAATTCTTGCCAAAGTTTGGGGCCACCGATTTTTAGAATATTTGTCAGAGTTTGGGGCCACCGATTTTTGGAATGCCTGTCCAATTTTTTAGGCCACCGATTTTTGGAATGCCTGTCAGAGTTTGGGGCCACCGATTTTTGGAATGCCTGTCCAATTTTTTAGGCCACCGATTTTGTAATGCCTGTCAAAGTTTTGGTACACCGATTTTTTGAATGCCTGTCAACGTTTGAGGGTACAGTTTGTGGAACAAGCTATAGTATTCACTGTGTGGGAGCCAGAGAATAAATAAAAAAAAATGAATCATCCAATGAACTAGAGATTCAACTATGCCAGCACGTGAAGGGTGTACATGTGAGAGAAAAAAGAGAAGTATGGGTCAGTGGATTCTGAATGAGTGCACTGAGAG